ATGTCCTCATCCTCCTCTAGACCCTGCAATGGCAGAGGAAAGTCCCATTTCCTCTTGGGAACTCCTCCATAGCCACAGCCTGTGACCCTCACCCCAGGACTGTCACAGAGGATCACCCAGACACTCCATCCCTCTGTCACTACAAGAATACTCCAGGGATTGTAGAAACATGGTGGAATTTTGTTACTTGGAAAATCAACTTATTTGACTAAAACTGCGAGCATCATTCCCAACAGGTGGCTGGGGCCAGGGCGGCACTCCAGACAAAAGCCAGCATGTAAGCGCCACAATTCTTATATTTTTTCATCAGACAGTGAATCTACAATATATACCATTTTCATCAGAGTGAATCTACAATATATACCATTTTGTCTTTTTCTTGATGCCACCTGCAATTACAAAAAGTAAACAGTCTTAGAAACAGATTACTCTGTGCACTGTTTGCACAGATCTTTTGCTCCCTTGGTGACTGAAAAATGAGATAGGAAAGTGTGGTCATGTCAAGGCCCACAAAAGCTAGAGGAGACAACACCTGTGGAAAAGGCAGGAGTTTGTCTTGGAGAATGTACCTGTCAGGGCCATTTTGGGAGACAGTTACAAAATTCTTAATCTGAAGAGGAAAAATCCCTACTGTAGAAAAGGCTCAGTAATGTACATTTTTAATCTGATCCCACCAATTTTGCATCCATTCTTGAGTCAGGTGTCAATTGTAAGATCCTCCTCCTCAACCCCTTGACTAAACACTCTTAGGCAGTCAAAATTAGGGAGTGTGTAATGCATATGATTAGGTGTGTATATCAGAAATTGATTGAAAAAGAAAGGAACCAAGAAAATCACAATTCTAACTTAGGCAAAGAAAGTCTCTCTTAGCTTGGTAATGCATGGGACCTCCCATCTGCCCTGTATTGATGAACATTCTCCACAAGATCTTTTTGGGGAGCAAGAAAGACACAGAATAACCATAAGTTCAATGGTGGTGCTGCTCATCAATTACTCAGGGAACTTGACATAGACCAAGGACCAGTGTTTATGGATGTGGTTGGTTCACAGGCACGGATTGAGCCGCTGTTGTACCATCTACTTGTTGGAAGAAGAAAGGGCAAGGAGAGGTACAAGAAAGAAATGAGAATAGAGCCCTTGGTACTCTAGGCGATGACATAGTAAAGCAACATAAAATAACCAATCTACAAACGTGTGAATACTAAAATACATGCTATGAATCCATGACAGAGTCCTGTCCCTTTCTGTCTTTTTTGAAGCCCAATGGAATTGTCTTCCAAGACTGTCGCCAAGGATCCACATACGTTTCCACTTCATTCATCATGTGCTGATTAGGAATTTGCCCTTGATTATTCACAAACTATTATTACGGAACTGGATTCAATATCAGACATAACATTTAATTTTATATATTCACTAATTTTTTGTTATAAAAATAATTAATTATTGAAGACTAGAAAATACTGAAATACACACATTTTAAAACAACCACTATCAATCATACATTTTCCTCACAATCTTCCTTTTCTATGCCATGTGTTTGTTTTACTTTGTGGTTGTCTATGACCGGCCAACTAACAGTGGACAGAGCATGATTAGGAGCCGCCCCTGCTGAGCACTAATGCTCTTTAAACCATCCATGCAAGAGAGTGGCCATTTGAATATCTATACTGGAGAAATTTCTATTCAAATCCTTTGCCTAATTTTGAATAGGGTTGTCTGTGTTTTTTGTTGTTGAGTTTTAGGGGTTCCATACATTTTCTGGATAATAATGCCTTATTAAGTATATGACTTGCAAATATTTTCTCACATTTTGTGGATTTCCTTTTAATCTGCTGATAGTGTCTTTTGATGCACATTTTACAAAAAAATCATGAATCCAGTTTGCAAATATATTTTGTTGTCTGCGCATTTGGTGTCATCTCTAAGAAATCATTATAAAATGCAGTGTTGTGAAGTCCTTAGAAAAATGCCTGTTACAGAGTCGGTGCTAATGATTGTTCAATTAATAAATCCAGAAGTAAATTGGAAACTTAACCATGTTTCTTCCAGTGGCAGAAACTGGAAGGCTGTCAGGAAGGAAGGAGGAAACTCAGATTTTAATACACACACTTTTGTGCATTTTGAGTTTTCTATGAGAGCATTATTCTTATTGCTATTACTGTACAAAACAAATCAACAAGGAAAAATTTTTAAATTTCCTCAAAATACTGGCATAAAAACACCACTTCATTTTGCTCATGGACACAAGATAGGAATTCAGACAAGACATAGTGGGGATGGCTTCTTTCTACTCTATGATGTTGGGGCCTCAGCAGAGAAGACCCCCTGGCTGGGCCTGACTGGAAAACTAGGGGTTGGAATCCAGGGGAGGTGACTTCACTCCCATGTGTGTAGTTGATGCTGGATTTGGCTAGAGGACCTACATGAGACCTCCCCAAGTGACCTGGGCTTCCTCACAGCAGGGCAGTCCTAGGCCATTCAGATGAGGGTTCCACAGGGGAGTGACCTGGGTGACCAGACAGAGTGTCATGGTCATTTCAAACAAAACTTTAAGCATGACACAGTGTCATTTCCAAGCTATTGGTCAGTGACAAGGAGCACTAGAGTTAGCTCTGGGTAGAGGGAGGTACCTAGACCCCAGCTTTCAATGGGGGGAATGTCAGGTGGTAATGCAGCCCTCTCCCTGTGGCATCAGTAGAGAGCTTGTGGGTGCTGGATTCCCACTCTCCACCCAGCAGTGAAGGGGTGGGTGCTCCTCCACATACCCACAGAGGTAGACACAGAGCAGGCCAAGAGCAGAGTGGGGACCTTTATCACTGCCATGTGGTAATGAGCTGCCCTGCCCTCCTGGAGTCAGTGTAGGCATATTTGCATCAATAAGGAGACACTCCTTCCTCTCCCATTCAGGGAGTATCTGTGGAGGCTTGGTGGGAAGTCTGCACTCCTACCCCCTCCCAGCAGGGAAAAGATCTCCACCTGCAATGGGGAGTCTGAACATTTCCCCACACCTGGAAGGAATGAAGTGTTGCTCACCTCTTCTCCCCTGCTGGAGTGATGTAACAGAAAGCCAGCTAAGACAAAAAGTTTAAATACTACCCAAAGTCTCATAATACGATCCCCAAAATGTTCAGCTTTCAATTGAAAATAATTCTTCATACTAAGAATCAGGAAAACACCACACAGTGAAGAAAGACAAACAATAGATGCCAACACAGACATGACAAAAATGTTAGAATTACCTATCTGACAATGATTAAAAGCAACTATTATCAAAATAAATTAACACACATATGAATAAACTTGAAATAAATGGAATAATTGAAAGTCTCAGCAAGGAGATGCAAAATATGTGAAGCAAAACTGATATCAGTGAAAGGAGAAGTAGATCCACAAATACACCTTATGACTTCAATAAAGCCTTCTTAACATCTGCTAAAAAACTCAACAGAAAGTCAGCAAGAATATAAGAGAACTCGACGTGATGAACTGATGAGATCCAAGCAACATTCATAGACACTAAATCCAACAACATAGAAGACGCATTAATTTAAAATGCACAAAAATATATAGACCGATATCCCTCACAATTATAGACATAAAATGCCTTAATATATTATCAAATTATATTTCACAATATATAAAATGAATTATATAGCATGTCCAACGGTGTATTACTGCAGAGATGCAAGCCTAGTTCAATAGGAAAAATCAATCAATGTAATTAACCATATGAAAAGATTAAAGAAGAAAAATCACATGATTATATCAATCCATGTATAAAACAATTTGACAAAATTTAACACTTATGATTAAAAAAAAATCTCAGTATGTTAGGCATAAAGAACAGCCTCACCCTGATAAAATGATCCACAAAAACCTACAGCAATCAGTATCCCTAACAAGGAAATATTTAACACTTTCCTCCTATCACTGAGAACAAGGCAAGGAGGCCCATACTCACTACTCTTATTTAATATCATACTGGAAGTTCCAGTGAGTGCAATGAGACAAGAAAAGAAAAGACATACATATAGAAAAAGAAGAAATGCAACCATGCCTTTTTTGCAAAGGACATGACTGTTTCCAGAGAAATTTCCACGGAATCTACAAATGAAAATATCTATCAGTAATAAGTGGCTTCACCAAATTTGGAGGCCACAAAATTAGTATATAAAAATCATTTGCATTTCAGTATACTAGCAATGACAGCATTGGCAGAAATTTAAAGTATATAATCAGTTACTGTTCTTCAAAGATGAAAAACTTAAGTGTAATTCTAAGAAATACACAAAAAATTTGTAGAAATCTTGTACGGATCTTGGATTCTGAGAACTTTCAAATGCAGATGAAATTAATCCAAAAAAAATCGATCTAAATAAATGGAGAGATGCAGTACATTCGTGAGTCGGAAAATTTAGTATTGTAAAGAAGTCAATTTTCTTTTAAATTGATATATGTGTTTAATATAATTCCCATCAAAATCTCAACAAGACATTTTGTAGATACAGAAAAAATTATGCCAAAATGTGTATGGAAAAGCTAAGGAGCACGCATAGCTAAAACACTTAAATAAGAGAATAAAGTGGGAGAAATAAGGCCACAAGCTTGTAAAAGTCAAAGTTACAGCGTTCAGAGCTGAATGGTTTTGGTAGAAGGATAGACGCAGATCAAGAGCACACGGTAGGCGTGGTTGGCGGCATTTTGGATGTCCATCACGCAGCCCTGCACAGCCCTCCTGCATTACTCACCGCGACCAGAGAGGGCGCTAAAGGAACTGGCCCTGAGGTGAGAAGCAGATTGCCCCGCCAGCCGGAAGTCCGCGGTGGGCGTGTCGGGGGGGGCGTGGTCGGCGCTTGGAGGCGGGGCCGCAGCGGCCAGCCCCTCCCCCAGGGCCCTCAGAGCCGGCGGCGGCGGCGACCGTTGGGCGTCAGCGACTTGGCAGCGGGGACATTGGCGGCAGCGGCCCCTCAGAGCCTGGACCCCGGTGAGGGCGCCGACCCTGGTCGTGTGTGGCAGGTGACAGTCGCGGGCGCTGAGCAGGGACCAGACTCCGCTCGCGCTCCTCGTCCTGAACGCGCTGACTGACTGGAAGGTGTCGCCGCCCCGCGTGCCCCCCGAGGAGGATGTGCAGGTTTGTCCTCAGGGACCGAGGGCTCCAGGCCCGGCCGAGGGGGCACAGGGCGGGGCTCAGGGCGTCCGAGTGGCTCCTGAGCCCGGAGTCAGTGGGTTTGGCTCATTTAACTTGAGGCTTTGGGAAGCACGAGGGTAAAATAGGGCGAATTGTGCAGGATTTCAACTCTAAACAGCCTCGTCGTTTAGGTCTTTTGGGTAATATTGAAATTTCAAAAACTGCAGAAAGTAGTTTGTCAACGGCTTTATCATCGATTGATGTGATAGCGATCACGGAAAATCACTGTTTTGCAGTTGCATTTCCTGTCGGTGTCATTTGGGGCAGTTTTGAGAGAAAACTACAAACCTTAGATGTGGTGGTTGAGAGGGTGGAACTGAAGGGCGGATGTCACTGACGTGAGAAGCTGGAGCAGGCGGATCAACGGTCAGAGAGCGGACCCGAGGGTCCCAGGGCCTGAGAGGGGGGCTGGGCGTTCATGTTCAATGGGAACAGGGTTTGTATGAGATGGGGAATGTTCTGGAAAAGGGTAGTGGTCATGGCTGCACAGCATTGCGGATGGACTTAATGCAGCTGCGTGCACACTTAAAGACGGTCGGAACGGTAAATTTTGGGTTATATAGATTTTACCATAATGAAAACAGATGATTAGGAGTGGAGAGCCGGGATCTTTGTGCCAGCTTGTCCTCAAAATGCTCCTTCCCGCTTTCCTGCGATCATTTGGGGCAGAGGGGATCTCCTTTCTAGATCCATTATGTGTCCCGGGAAGTTTATCGTGGACATTTAAACAGTGTAATTTCTTTTAAGTCTTAATAAGTTTGCAAAGAAATTGGCTATCTGGGATGAAAAGCCATAGGGAGTTAGGATTGGGGGAGAAAGGATTCCATCTTTCTTTCTTTCATATGGTAGTTCAAGTATCAGTTTTTGAGGAATCTCCATCCTGTTTTCCAAAGTGGCTACAACAGTTAACATCCCACCAGCAGTATATGAGTTCTCCTTTCTCCACGTCCTAAAACACACTTGCTATTTCTTGTCTGTTTGAATAGCCATTCTGCTTGGGTGTGAGGGGGTATCTCACTGTAGCTTTGATTTGCATTTCCCTAATCGTTAGTGATGAACATCTTTTCAAGTGCCTGTTGTTCATCTGTATATCTTCTTTGGAAAAATGTCTGTTCAGATCCTCTGCCCATTATTTAATTGGGTTTTACTGTTGATGTTGAGTTGTATGAATTCTTTATGTATTTTGGATACTAATCCAAATATTAATGCAAACATCTCCTAAGTTAGTTTGTCTTTGCATTTTGTTGATGGTTTCCTTTGCTATGCAGAAGCTTTTTAGTTTGATGTAGCCCCATTTGTTTATTTTTCCTTTTGTTACTCTTGCCTAAGGGTGCATGATATTCAAAAAGATACTAAAGCTGACATTTAAGAGTATATTGCTTGTGTTTTCTTCTAGGACTTTTATGACTTCAGATCTTACATTCAAGTCTTTAATCCATTTTGAGTTAATTTTTGTGTATGGTGTAAGATAATGGTCTACTTTCATTCTTTTCCATGTGACTGTCCAATTTTCACAACACCATTTTTTGAAGACTTTCCTTTCTCTCTCGTATGTTCTTGGCTCCTTTGTCGAAAATTAGCTCCCCATGGATGCATGGTTTATTTCTGGGCTCTCAATTCTGTTCCATGGATCTGAGTGTCTGTTTTTCTGCCACTACCAAGCTGTTTTGATTACTGTAGCTTTGTAGTCTATTTTGAATTCAGGAAGTGTGATACCTCCAGCTTTGTTCTTTTCTCTCAGGATTCCTTTGGCTATTCAGAGTTTTGTGTTGTTCCGTATAAATTTTAGGATTCATCATTGTATTTCCATGAAAAATGTTGTTGAGATTCTCATTCACAGTGCATTGATTCTGCAGATTGCTTTATGTAATAATAAAGACATTTTAACTCTGTTTATTCTTCCAGTCCATGTACGTGGAATAGCTTTCCATTTCTTTATGTCTTCTTCAATTTCTTTCAATAATGTCATATTTTTCAGTGTATGGGTCTTTGACCTCCTTGGTTAAATTTATTCGTAGGTATTTTATTCACTTTTTTGAGACTGTAAATGGATTTTTATTTTTGATTTCTCTCTCTGCTAGTTCCTTGTTAGTGTGTAGAAATATAACTGATTTTCATATGTTGATTTTGTACCCTGAAACTTTACTGTATTCATTAATTATTTCTAGTAGTTTTTGGTTAATTCTTTAGGGTTTTCTACATAGAAAATCATGCCATCCAAAAATAGTGACAGTTTAACTTCTTCCTTTCCAGTTCAGATCCTTTTTATTTCTTTTTATTGCCTAAATTCTCTGGCTAGGACTTCTAATACTATGTGGAATATAATGGTGAGAGTGTACATCCTTGTCTTATTCCTGTCTTTAGAGGAATAGCTTTCACTTTTTCACCATTGAGTGTGATGTTTGCTGAGGGTTTGTGGTATATGGCCTTTATTACGTTCAGGTACTTTCCTTCTATTCCTACTTTATTGAGAGTCATTATCATAATTGGATATTGGATATTGACAAGTGCTTTCTCTGCATCTATTGAGATGTTCATGAGTTTTTTATTCTTCATTTTGTTAATGTGGTGTCTCACATTGATTGTTTTGTGGATGATGTTGAACCATCCCAGCATCCCTGGAATAAATCCCAATTCATCATGGTGTACGATTCTTTTAATGTATTGTTGTATTTGATTTGCTAATATTTTGTTAGGGATTTTTGCGTCTGTGTTCATCAGCAATATTAGTCTGTAACTTTCCTTTTTTCCATTGTCCTTATCTGGCTTTAGTTTTAGGGTAATGTTGGCCTCATAAAATGAGTTAGGGAGTGTCCCATCCTCTTCAACTTTTTGGAAGAATTTCATAAGGATAAATATTAAGTCTTTGAAAGTTTGGTAGAATTCACCAGAGAAGCCATTTGCTCCTGGACTTTTGTTTTCTGGGAGGTGTGTCTTACTGTTTTAGCTTTCTTACTAGTGACTGATCTATTCAGGCTCTTTATTTCTTCTTGATTCAGCTGCAGGAGGTTATATAATTCTAAGAATTTATCTTATTCTTCTGGGTTATTCAATATATTGGCATATGGCTTTTCTTGGTATTTTCTAATAATCTTTTCTATTTCTGTAATATCTGTTGTAATTTCTCTTCTTTCATTTCTCATTTTATTTGAACATTCTCTCTTTTTTTATTCGTGAGTCTTGCTAAGGGTTTGTCAATTTTGTTTTTCTTTTTGAACAAGCAGCTCTTATTTTCGAGGATCCTTTCTTTTCTTTTTTAGTCTATATTTCATTTATGTCTGATCTGATTTTTATTATTTCCTTCCTTCTGCTGACTTTGGGCTTATTTGTCTTTTTTCTCCTACTTCTTTTAGGTAGAGTTAGATTATTTATTTGAGATTTTTCCTGTTTTTTGAGGTATACTTGTATTGCTATAAACTTCACTCTCCATACTGCTTTTACTGCATCCTGTAAGTTTTGGTATGTGGTGTTTTCAATTTCATTTGTCTCCAGGTGTTTTTTTGATTTCTCCTTTGATTTCTTCATTGATCCAATAGTTGTTCAGTAGCATGTAGTTTAGTCTCCATGCATTTGTGAGTTTTCTAGTTTTCTTCTCCTAGTTGATTTCCAATTTCACACCACTGTGGTCAGAAAAGACGCTTGATATGATTTCAATCTTCTTAAATTTATTGATGCTTATTTTGTTTTCCAACATATGGTCTCTCTTTGAGAATGTTCCATGTGCACTTGAGAAGAATGTTTAGAATATCTATGCTGGTACTTTACAGTAGAATATTATATATAGAGAGAGAGAAAGTCCATCTGGTCTAGTGTTTGCTTTAATGCCAATGTTTCCTTGTTGACTTTCTGTCTGGATGACCTATCCATTATTGTATGTAGGGTGTTAAAGTCCCCTACTATTATTCTGTTGCTGTCAATTTCTTTCTTTACTTCTGTTAATAGTTCCTTTATATCATTTGGTGCTCCTATGTTTGATGCATACATATGAATATGTCATGTCTTCTGGGCGGAATGTCTTTTATCATTATGGAATGCTCATATTTGTCTCTTGCTATCTTTTTTGGCTTGAAGTCTATTTCGTCTAATATAAGTGTGGTGACACCTACTTTCTTTCAGTTGCTATTTGCTTGGAGTATTATCTTCCATCCATTCATTCTGAGCCTTTGTGTGTCTTTAGACCTGACTTAGCTCTCTTGGAGGCAGCATATTATTGGGTCTTGTCTTTTAATCTATCCAGCCACTCTGTGTCTTTTGATTGATGAATTCAATCTATTCCCATTTAGAGAGATTATTGATATGCGAGGGTTTAATACTGCTATTTTATCTATTGTTATCTGGTTGTTCTATGTTTCCTTGTTTCTTTTTCCTTGTAATTCTGTCTGCAGTTTCAGTCTGCTGGGTTTTTGTGATGTTTTTCTCATTTTCCTTTTTATTTATGATTTATTACTCTGCTCTCATTTTCCAGGTTTGTGGTTATCATAAGGTTTGTATAAAAGATCTCCTAGATGAGAGGTCCTTTTTCTCCTGATAGCACTTTATCTCCATTAGCCTATGAAGATACTATCCTTTTCTTCATCCTATTCTATGTTTTTATTGTCACAAATTATCCTTTATGTGTGGTGAGTTTGTTATATTAAAGTGGTTATAGTTATTTTTGATGTGTTTTTTTCCCATTTAGCCTTTATGGTATAACTGTTAACTTAGTATGATATAGAGTTGCAATTTTCTGATTCTGTCTGTGTCTTTATCACCAAGCAGAAATCTTGTCAACCTTTTCCTTTTAGTTTCAGGTACGGTGCTCCTTTGAACTTTTCTTGTAAGGGAGGTCTACTGGTGATAAACTCTCTCAGATTTGTTTGTGAAAGCCTTTGTTTCTCCTTTATATCTGAAGGAGAACTTTGCTGGATAGAGTATTTTTGGCTGATAGTGTTTGTCTTTCAATA